CCCCAAAACCCCAAAACCCCACAATCAGCAAAGTAATTATTATAGATAAGATTTGAATTTTAATATTTAAACTTTTCAGATAACTTCTACTTTAATACATTGAAAATTTAATTAATTAAAACAAAAGTAGTAAGTTAAATCGAAAAAAATCATAATTGAATACATGAAAAATTATTTTCTGAGATCTTGTCTTAATAGAGATAAAAGTCATTCACTTGCTTTGTCCAAAGCATTTCAAAAATGCATTAAAGAATGTAAAAAATACTATACAGAGAGCACCCAATATATCTGTAAAAACTACCGATTCTCCAAAAATAGCAACATCAGCTAAAAATGCATTTACTACCACTAAATAATTGACTGAGGCACTTCTTCCACCTTTCTCAATTTAGAGAGCCATGCTAAGAAATTCTTATTATAGCCAACTACAGAGACCACATATTGATGTCAATATCACATCTTTAAAACCGAGAGGTGAAATCTTATAAGAAGTAAAAGATAGTGCTATAAAACCCAAAAAAGAAGTAGCTAACGCAAAATAAAAAGAATGAACTGATACATGCAAATCTTTGCCTATTTTTCTGCAAACAATAAAAACCACTGTCACTGCTAATGCACCAGATAAGCTGAGGAATGTTCCAATGAAGTAATGATTTAAATTATTTGGACCAGAATCTTCTAAAGTTTGACGTTCTTAGACAAGCGAGGGAACTATCAATTAAGGTTAGATAAGCAAAACAACTCCAAACATGGCAGAGAAAATACTGATCATTTCAAGCTTAGCTAATTTCTCACCTAAGATTACGTAGCATGCAATCGCCACAAAAATTGGTTGTGTATAGTAAACTGTAATACACTGAGAGAGTGGCATAAAATCTAGTGCAGCATATAAACATATAGAAGATAAATACCCAAATACTGCTCTCGCTATGATTAACCCCCAAAATTTTCGAGGAATCTCTATAATACTGAGCTTATCTTTTTTAACATGGAGGTAGGAACCAGCAGCTAAAAACAAGCTTCTCATGATAACTGCCTGGACTGGATTAATTTGAGTATGCTTAGCCTGATACTTGATTATCAAGTTCATGCAAGTAACCATCAAGGCTGAGATAACCATGTAAAAAAATCCCTTTGCTCTTGCCAGATTAAATTTCTATTAGCTTTCACTTTGATTTAGTTGATTACTGCTTTTGCTCTACTCAGTATATAGGCTCTCCTTCATTTCTTTAGGAGCATGTTCAGTCTCCTAGAAATTTTAAATTTCAGCAAGTTCTATCTCTCTAGATTAATCACTGCTTATTTGCTTGTAAGGTTGATTGGGTAATTCCTTGCTCATTTCAATTATATTTATTTTTTTAGACATTGATTGACAAGAAATATATTAAATTACAATACGGATAAATAGTCTCTAATTAGAGTATTTTAAATATAAGCTTTTATTTCATGTGGAAATATTAGCTAAAGGGGTTTTGGGGTTTTGGGGTTTTGG